TCTTTTTATTGGGAAGCCCGACACCGAAGAGAACAGAAAGGGCTTCGTCTCGACCATTCCGCTCGGACGAGGAAGTACACCAAAAGACGTGGCAAACGCTTGCTGCTATCTCGCTAGCGACGAGGCTGAATTTATCACTGGTGTTAACTTGGAAGTTGATGGCGGGCGATGTGTGTAGCGCACCGACAGCCTGCCATCACTCTCTGAAGGAAAAGAATGCTTGCTTCGCCAGCCAACGGCGGTATCGAAGGAGGATACTGTAAAGTATCGTTTCAATAGAACTTCGGCATTGGACTAGAGCATTGAGAACGCCACGGTGGCGAGTGTTGATTGATCCCTTAGGTGTCTCGACACCTGCCAGAGGAGTTTGATGTGTAGGACAGTGTGGTAGTACTCCATATAAGATATCTAGAAGACTTTGCTATTTCGTCAAATGCAATGTTCGAGTTAGTCAATGTTTTACTGCCTTACGACATGACACCACCGAATGACCTGATGCTCAGAACCAACATAACCTGCAAAACGCGCTGTCTGATCTGGACTTTAGACATATCAATGAGACGCTGCCCCCCGGCCAAGACAGGACTGGAATCTTGGACACGTTCGAACCCGTTCAGGGGGAAATATGCCTCTTTGGGCATAAGGTATAGTGTGGTCGCTCGTTTATGTGAAGACCAGGTGTATTCTCGCTAATTTCAGGGACCTTTGGGGGACAGGATTTGGTGAACGATCAGGAGGTAGCTCAAAACACTGACATATTAGAACCTACCTTCGACAAGGCATGTGTCAGCACGGAGTCTGAGCGTCAACGACGGTTACGACAATCGCTTTGAGTTCTGGTCAAATGTACAAAGCGAATTCTAGACCCTCTCTCAACCGTGTCAGAATTCGCAAAAGGCAATTTTTGGTGGCGTGGGAGGATTCAAAGTCCATTGAGTGACACAGACCGGGACCGTGGGCGGAGGGCAACACATACTGGGTTGCAGTGAGGTTGTATCCGCTCCGCAACGCAGCCAGCCATATGTCAAATTCGGATGCTGATTATGACATGGCAGCGGCTGCGAGTCTCTGAATCGTGGAGCCCCCTGTTCTTCGGGACGGTTGTCGGAATGAATTGGAGTTCGAGGATCAGTGAATCAACGAGGCCGACGAATAACCTCGACGTGCTTGATCTTTCAGCAGTCGAATTTGGCAAATCGGGCTGAATATGAAATTATGCTGGTGTTGAAACATCATGCTGCCGGTGTGGAGAGTGACTCCTGCAAAGACACGATTACTTTCCACTAATCAGCATCGAGAATACTGTTGTGTGTTGCAGGACACCCTCAGATTGCGATCAGCAAGCATCACAAGGACGCATGGACGACCGCCACCTCTTGTCCAGTCAGCCACTGCCCAGTATATTGTCTTCTGACCTAAAGCCAGCCTGAGCCAGAGAAGGAGGGCCAAGTTGATGAACCAATCATCAAGTATTGTCGCGTCCTGGGGTAGGCAGGTTGAGACCGAGTCTGACGCTTCCCACACCCTCAGGCCGCAAGTCACTGCCGATTCCAGAATCTGAAAAAGTCATTCCAGAAGCATGTTCGTGGGCCGTGATTCGTCCAGAGTCAGTCCAGACTATTGAGTCTGCCGGAGAAATTCTGCACCACTCATTGCAATTCAGGCCAAGGTTGGCACTCCTTGGACTGGCCTAGACGGGCAACTCGGGTGTAACGGCGAAGTGGGAGGTCGAAGCCCTGTCAAAAGCGTGGGAAACAGCGGGAACTTACTTTGTCGACCTGGTTGGACGTGTCCGTGGACATTCAAATGGATGCTGATGCTCATGCGGACGGGTGCCTGACGAATTCTGAATCCCCGGAGAGTCCGTCGGGAAAGATTAACCGCCAAAGTGCTTCAGATGAGAAGTCGTCCCTCTGATGCAGGTACCAAAAGTGAGCGGGGGACAGTCATTCGAATCGCTTAGCCGTAGGTCCGTAGTTGATCTCCTGTGCCGCTGCTCGGCTTTAGGAATTGGAAAGGAGACCATTTTTTCAATGGCTCCGAATTTTGTGTCAAGCTCACTGATGATCTGCGGACTGAGCAGCTCTGGTGGCTCTGATAGATGGAAGGTGTGGGACACAGAATGAAAAGGTTTTTTGGGGAGGTGGAAATCAAAGTCTCATCCGGGAGCCGTGATTGAGCAGTCAAAAGGCAGTGTCAAGCCAACGAGAGAAGAAAGGTGTGTGTTTCCACAATTCCGCAATTCCCCAACATTTCGATCTTTGTACTCGGAAGGCATGTAATAATCCTTCCCACCTCTTCTAACTCGTTACCTCTGGGATGGCACTTGGGTACGAGGTAGGTATAGACAACAGTGATACGAGATAGCGAGTCCGAGCTCGGGTTGCATCTGCGACCACTTCTGTAAGCGAGGCAACTGAGGCTTCTGTTTGGCACGCGATAATTTTATCGACCCCGTGTCCTTGGTTGTGTGGGAATTGGCTTCAGGGGCCTGGAAGAGAGCGTCGCGGCGCATGGGCTTTTCGATAATCATGGTGCTGGTAAAGAGTGTGGATGGAGGACTCGTAGTAGTGCTATACGAGTAATAATCAAGAAGCACTTATGCACAGCTAACAAAGACAATCACCAACCGTTGCCTTTCTTTGACAGACTAGGGCTTCGCTTTGATGCATGAGGGAGAACTAAAGGACCAAAAGTCAAGCACCCTGGCAAGTTCCAGCCTCTGACCACTTGTTATTTTGTTTTTGAGGACCAGACTCGATTTGGGGAAGGAAGGGGAGGAAGGGGGAGGCCTAGGCCTAAAATGCGCCTGCTGGTTGTCGTTCCGAACTCCAGGTCTCTCGGTGGCATCTGCCCCGGAGCAACGGTGGAGCCAGGACGGTGGTAGCCTGGCCACTACTAGCACCTGGCACTTGGTGCGAGCTCTGCCTCCAGGCTTTCGGGCTGGTGTTGCGGCGAAGGATGAGAGCCACTGTGGGCACCAAGACAGAAAGGGTCATGATCCCGCGTCTCCCCGGTCGTTGCCGTTCCAAGGGTCGTTGATCGCCTTCCCACCTCCCACTTCCTAGGTAGAGTACCAGCCCAATGTCCGAAACTCGATGCTTTGGAGTCCGCCCAAGTTTCGGGTTCAGGCGTGCGCCCGGGGGGGTTGGACCGCCCGGAGACTCTGGCCATGATTAGCATTCCTGGGCGTGTCTCTTGTCCATTGAGAGTGCCTCTGGTGGGCTTCATTCCCCATTCTTTCTGGTTCACTAGGCTGCTCTATACTCGGCGTCTCCCTCGGGTAACCAGTTTGTTTGTCCCTGCAATCTATCGCCGTTCCCATGGCCATGTCCTTGGGACTCCCTGTCAACCACGTTGAAAAGGACTTGCTGAAACCTGTCAAAGATCCTGGTAACTGAGGTCTGCACATCCTCTCGTCATCTGTATGCATGATCCCATATGTCAGCTGCTTCCTTAATATTTCCTCTACATTATTATTCATTATTGCACAGAGTCGCGACCGCTTCAGCCGGCTCTAGGCAGAGAGCCCAAGAAAGACAAAATGGGTGGGTGCAGGCAGTCTTGTATGACTTTGAGTCCGTAGTGCAGAATCTGTGACAGATTCAGGTGGCACAAAAGTCTCCCTTATAAGGGTAACACGTGTGCTACGGCATCAACGGGGTATCTGGCCGCACAAAGCAAGATATGCATGCTGGGGATCAACAACCCGGCCTCGCACGAATCTGGGTTGCAATTTTACCAGGATTCATCATGAGATCAAAGTTGTCCAAAACCACGCCAAAAGTCTAGAGCCGTGTGAGCATCCTTCTCCTATTAACCAGCACGAGGACCAACACGAGCCTATGGCCTGTGCATCAGCCCACCCCCTGCCATTTGGAAGCATGTTGCTCGTGGACCGACCGGAATCTTCAGCTGTCCGAGATGAGACTAGGTAGACGAGTAAACTTGTCATGGTGCCGGAAAGGTCCTGGTTGTCTATCAACACGGTCAGTAATTGTAGTGAACAAAACAGTGTATTGTCGAGTACCTCGTACATGCCACCTGCTTGTATATCAACCAGTGGTGGCGAAGCACCCTCACACAACCACAACCACAACATGGGTCTTTTTCACTTTGGCAGTGATGCAATGCCTCGAAGCGGTAGGCTGGCAGTGGTAGTGGCAGTGGCAGTTGTTGCTAGCGGCTGAAGCTCCAACATTGAACTCTGATGCCTCTTGCTTTTTCAGCGCAGGATCTGCCCTACCTCTCCAATCAATCATCTTTGTCCCACTGGTGAGGCCCACAACAGCGGGGGTGATAACCGACCGAATTGCACCAGGGGGTGTGAAGTGCAGAGCGGTTTTGCCCAAAGTGTTCATGGCGGCCATGCACCTGGAAGAAGGGCGAGGGAACGTGCGCAATTTAGCCCACACACCAAGAGTCCAGGCTAGCGAGTACGAGCAGGATCGTCTAACACTAGGCATAAGATAGCCAGCAGCAGATGTCCACCCATCCATCCCCTGAGAGTCGAGGAGTCTGCCAATGGCATTCGCTAGGATGTACTTGTAAAGAATCTCTTTCTGCAGTGCACATGCTCGTCGAAGTCCGTGCCTTCTTGCTGGTAGTACAACCGGGTTGGCAACAGTAAGCAAAGGAACAAGGGAAGGCCTCCGACGGGGAAGGATTCATAACAATAGCTGGTAGGAGCAGGAGCAACAGCAGCCTTCGAAGTGGGCATCGCAGTGGGCATCGGGCCCGCCCCAAAGTCCCGAATGGAATGGCCTTGGGGGCAAGCACTGGGCCGCTGGGCAGTTAGTGGGAGGCCCATGATTCTGACCCTGTTAGGCGTACGAGGTGTGGAGCGCAGCCATGGGGAAAAGCCTCCTCGCAGGCTAGGCCCAAAGCCAACAGCACCATCCCAGGGCACCGACAAGGGCCCACCAGGGCTAAATGACCATTGACCACTGACCAGAGACAGGAGGGGAGCGCTGGCCCGCTGGCCCGCTAGGCTGCTTCGCCTACCATGCTGGTGCTGCTGCCGGCGCATGGACCTGGCGTCTGGGTGCTTGACGGTGCCGCTTTTCCATATTTTCGCTGGCGCTGTGTTCTTCCTGGCTCCCCGGCTGCGACGTCGTTGCATCCCCATCTGCACCTCTTCTTCTCAGTCTTTCCCACTCTTCTCGCAGCTCTTCTGCTTCATTCCTACCCTCGCTGTCGCTCGCCTCGTCGGCAGGGGAACTGTTACCAAAGTCACCCTCCCCCGATCCTAGCATTCCATCTCTTCTGCCTTCGAACTCTTCTCGTGTTAGATTTTGTCCGTCTCCGGGCATTGGAGGGTCTAGAAGGGAAAGGATATTTTGTTACCTGCTCCCAACATTGGTCGTGATAGTCCGGCTCACTCAGTGAGCGAGAAGAGTTCCAGTTGTCTGGCTTCACAAAAACCTTACATCCCTCGGTCGCATTTGGTGTCGAAGTAAAACTCGCATCCGCTCTCCCTCCACCAAACCCGAATCCTGCGATCGACCATTGTTGGGACATTCAGCAAGGCACGGTCCACGCTGACACGGTCATCCCTCTACCTTTCCACTGGGCGAAGAAACCGGGATACGTTTTCGATTCAACGGCGCAGGAAATAGCAGGGAACTTAAGCTTCTGGTTGTCTATATTCGTCAGGATCCAGACTTTGAGCGCATGCGATCCGGAAACATTGTCCGCTTGGCCTCTTGGTTGAACTCGACAACCACTAGACCCGGACCTCGTCGTGATCCAGCCATTGCACAACCAGCAAGGAAGAAACGACTCGGGTGATAGGTTTTGGTCTGATTGAATTGTGGTGGAGCTTTGGATTCTGGTCAGTACTTTTCACTTTCCCAGTGGTGTTTCTTTGTGTTCTTGCCCATTGGGCGCTGCTGGTCTTCTGCGCCTACCGTGTGCGTCTCGAGCTACCAGAAGGAAGGAGAGACTCGAGGGCGACGGTTGGATTCACGCTGGCCATTTGGCGGGGCTGGGCTCCAGGATACCTCTTGATCGATTGCCCAACCTCCAGGACCTTGGAGTCGCTCCGTATTGTCTACATGTATTTCGTATCTTGCTTCTTAGATTTCACCCTGTCTCCAATACAGCATGTCTTCTCCCATTGATAGAGATGCCGCTGACACCGCCAACATGGATAGTGCCCAGAACCTGCCGGAGAAACTGTCGCCAGTTGATACGTCGACGACTACCCGTGACTCGGATCAAGGCCTTCCAGCGCTTAAAGACTGCCTGGGCCACGAGTTTGATATCAACAATCTACGACAAATTCTACCCCAAAAACCACGTCCTTTCATACCGGGCCTGTTTGTACCGGGGATCTCGGTCCTCTATCTTGACGGCCTACCAATTCGAACCTACAATATTTGCGGTATATCATACAACATGCAGCAACCTCCTAACGAGACGAGGAGCTCCGTCAGTAGGTTCACCATCGACAGGAGGTGCATCAAATACTCTCTGGAAGTCGTGCAACAGCCAGAAAAAGCTCGAGCATGTGGATCTGGACCCAGATGTATGTTAAGCGCAACGCCTTTGAGAATCTCTACTAACGTACGAAAGCATCAAATGACCGGAGACCAGTAGACCCACCTCCGGTCGTTGAACTGAAGGTGTTTATCAATGATGTCGACACCACGATGCAGTATGATGCCACCTTCATGCTCTATGCCAGTTTGGAAGTTGCTCGGCCGATAGCAGGGGGTAAAATGCACGTCCCGCCCGCTATTCCCGTATTGGCCGGTGTCACAATAGCCAGTGCCGCTTATCTGGAAAAGCCGAAACGAGCCGCCTACTTCATCTTTCCAGATCTATCCGTCAGACATGAAGGCTGGTATCGGCTGAGGTTCTCACTGTTCGAGGGGGTGAAACACGACCAGGATGCCGATATCGGAAAGCCGTTTAACCGGACCGAGAGGGACGGGGATAACTTGACGGCGCCTGTCCGTCACGAAGGCGTCTTCAATCGGATGGAAGTCCTGTCCACTCCATTCCAGGTCTACAGCGCCAAGAAATTCCCAGGACTCAATCAGAGCACGGCTCTAAGTATGATGGTCGCCGACCAAGGCTGCAGAGTTAGGATTCGGAGAGACGTCCGGCAAAGAAAGCGACGGCAGAAGTCTGGAGGCGAAGGCGATGACGCTCCGAGCTCCTACCAGGGCACTCCCCAACCCACCTATCGCAACCTCGACCACTCCAGATCAGTCAGTCGCAATAGCATTGGCACTCAGCACGAGAATGAGTTACAAAATCGAGATCCCGCCGAAGCCCTCTGGGCTCGCCAGGACGCTGCAATGCGGGCGCGACTGTTGGCTTCCAACCACTCGTCGATAGCGGCACCTAGTGCAGTACTACCTTCACCTACCACATCGATGCCCCCACCTCCTGTATACAATCCAGCGCCTGCACGAAGGCCATCATTCGACAATCGGCCCAAGCCCATGCTCACTATGCCGATCCCCCGACCCTCGCAGCCTTCCTCTGCTTTGCCCAACCAGTCGTCAGTTCCAAGACCCATGACCCCAGACACCGAGAGAAGTCTTACTCTGCCGCCGCTGAGATTTCCCGGTGCGAGCACGTCCAAACCCGATTCACCAGGTCTCAGATACAATATGCCAGCACCCACAGCAATGAAGAGGACATTCAGCCCCGGCTCCTCTATCCAGGAGACATCCTTGAAAGATGGGGCTCGACCTGGGATGCCTCCTGCCCATTGTCCACCACCACCCCCTCCGAGTGGTAGCGATATTATCGAACCGGACGTCAGTGGCGATGGAGATGATGACGATGAAGAGGCGGAGTTATTCGCCGATGCATTGATATACACGCGGGCGGACGGTACCAAAAGCTACAGATACCGTCCTGGAACCAGTTATTTTCGGTAATGGAGATTAGCAGACTGCCACATACGTCTCAGACGCCTGCCTCTTTCTGTCTGTGTCGTAATGTACTTGGAGTGGCATTTTCGACGTGATTTGGGTTCACATGCACACGGGTAATCAGGACACACAGGACACACGGGTTTGGGCGTCTTTGAAGTTGCACAATAAAAGAACCAGCGCTAAGCCTCTGGCCTTTGATGCACAGGTCTTGTTCTTTGGACCCTTTTCGACTCAATTTCTTTGGAAGAAGATACGTGTCCTCTGGCGCTTGTTTTTCGTTTGCGTTATCTTCTCGAGGAAGCGGTGCGGACAAAGAGCGACCTGGCACATCTAGTGGAGCCACATGAAGTTCAGTGGTCAAGACCGGCATGGGTCGACGGAATGTTCTTCCAGATAGCAAGCTGAGAGAGGCGCTACAGGAATTACATCAAGGTCGCCACGTGGAAGCACATGATACCAGTCTCCCGGGTAACCAGCCAGATCAACCGTTTTGGATGAGAATGGAGGAGACTAGACTGCAAGCTCTCTTTGTCTGGGTGTTATTTCCGGCCCACACCATTGGAAAGATGGAGGAGGTGGCCATACGAACCAGAAGAAGACGCGTTACATCTAGCGGTCCCCCATGTGGTGTAGATGAACAGAGGCAGCTTGGGCATTTACAAACATGATATCTCACTCTAGATTGCATTTCTCTCTATATCTGTGGTCTGTACAGAGACTTACAAAACCGGTTTCCTCCCTGCGCATATCCTTTACTATTGTCTGTTCTGGAGTGGAGCAGGCCGGTATCCACATTCTCCCAGATCAATTTACATAAGTCTGGTCAGCAATCATCTCTAGCTATTACCGCCTGCCATACAGTCCATTACGTCTCTCAATATACTGGGGTTGTCTTGACGAATGTATTTTTTGGGCTAGTAATCACGTGCTCTGACACGTTTGTCTCGCGCTACACTATTTAACAGCTATATCGACATCGCGTCTGAGCTGCTATTTTCCGGGCTAAAGAACAATCCATCAGCCCATTTCCTTACCACCACCATTGGTGGCATGGCCACACTTGACGCTCGAAATGCCATGTCGCTGTAGATACAGTAGTGTAACGTTACCCTTCAAGTCGTGCCTTCTTTACTTCTAAGATCGACGGAAGTATTTCTGGATCTTCGACAACGGCGTTTTCTTGGTGTTCCTTGTCAGTGCGCTAGAAGTCCGGGTCTCTAGAGTGAGGAATTAGTGTCCTTTCGCGGTGAAACTGACCGGTAGAGAATCCATACCTTGCTGGAGATCTACGGGTTTGATAGCACTCTCAAGTCGTCTACACCGCTCATGGGATGAGCCTAGAACATACCGAAGACCAACTAGTGCTCGTTGAAAGAACTCCGTCGCCTCCTTTCGTCGGCCTCGAAGAACCAGCAGCCGAGCAAGATTCTCATAGGTGTTCAGTGCAGGAAGATATTGTCTTACGAGGCCCGTACCTAAAGCATTCTCGTAGCCTCGTAGCGCTCGCTCGTACATCTCTTCCGCCTCCTTAAGCTTCCCTTGATTAAAGTAGAGGAGGCCGAGATTATGAACCGTATCGAGTGTCGACGTATGCTCCGGCCCGAGCGCTTTCTCGCGGCCTAGTAGCGCTCGCTCGTACATCTCTTCCGCCTCCTTAAGCTTCCCTTGATTAAAGTAGAGGAGGCCGAGATTATGAACCGTATCGAGTGTCGACGTATGCTCCGGCCCGAGCGCTTTCTCGCGGCCTAG